GAAATTAACTAGGTGTGAAGAAAACATATATAAAGTCAAATAGTTGAAATTTACAGGAAAGACGATGATAATGAAAGATTAATCGTTACTCTTAAGTGCATATATATTAAATTTACTTAAGTAGTGTTTGAGTGGCTGATAAATTTTTAGATTGTTTCTAAAAAGAATTTGTAGAAAGCAGCTGATCTGGCTTAATTTGGTGCTTTTGGCTTAACAGTCCAAGTTTTCAGCACTCACTAACATCTTCGGGAAATTATTAGAAACTATGGTGGAACACATGAAAATCGCCCTCGTCTTAGTTCAGATTTCTTCAGCTGTACATATCTGGTGAATACAAGATGGAATCTGAAGACTATCAAGCATACCGCTGAGCGTTGTCAAAAGTAAGCGTTCTCAATTCGAGGTATATCAAAACAGTTATCTCAGAAGATAATATCTATTCTTAACAGTTACGTGACCACCGATAGAATTTACAGTTAAGAGTAAAATTCGACAAGGAATCATAGGTACATTTAACACAAGGATCCCACACTAGGACGAACCAGCTGTTTAGTACTTCCTGGTTTTCAGCGGTCATTTTATTGCCTGACACAATTCAAATAGTTGGAATCATAGCTCCCTCAATATTAGTATTACGGTGCAAGAAAAGAAAAAAAACCTTAATTATAAGTCTGGAAGTTGAAATAAAAACAAAGATTTTGATTTCCAAACATTTCACATTAGGTAATATAAAGTGTTGATAGTAATGGTAGATAGTGGCTTGCAGTGGAGTTCAGTACACGCGTTTTGTCCTATTTGGGACTCGTTGGCTAGATACGCTTGCTTTCCAGTTAGTGGTGTTGTTCTCACTGAGACTTAAACCTGCGACTAATCGCTTCAAACGCCAAAAGTCTATCCACTTCCCCACCCAATCACGGTACCCACTTCTTGTGCAATGGGTATAGTTTATATGATGCTATAGGTACAGTCCCATCATTCACCGGGAAAGAGGTGCACCCAACTGACAAGTCTCAAGTAAGACGAAACGCCTATCCTGGATTCCACTGCTAACCACTGTCCATCATCACTATGAAAATTGAAAGTACAGTCAATAGCTAGGCATCCGCTCAGGAGACCATATGCCAATAGGGACCGATCAGTTCCGCACATTCAACGATGGGATAACACTAGCAATGCCAAATATAAAGTGTCCTTTCTAACACAGACAAGGATGACAAGTTTCTTCGCAGTTTCTTTCCCCTGTAACTTGACATTTCTTCCTAGTTGCAATGGACTTTGAAGTACATTGTTTGTATATAACAGTATCTGTTTTAAACTAAACTAAATGTTAGCAGATGAGGAGAAAACCGAGGTAAAGCGTCGCAGGTAACTGAATTAGGTCAAGGTGAGGCAATTTTCTACGGCATAGCTGAAGTAAACGACCGAAAATAGCTTCATATCAAAACAAATAAACAAGCAGCAATGAGGAGAAATAGTCCAACGTAGATAAACAAAATCTTTGAAGTTTTGGTAATAAGTGTATACATAGATTACATTTTGGCCAATAATAAGTCATTTCGCTGTGTTGTAGGATTTTAGACATCTGTTTATTCCCATAACATTCATTTAGAAACGACCTGAACGAACAGTAATTTAAAAGAAAAATTTTCATCAGTTTCTACACATATTAAATAGAAGTATAAAGCATAAAACAAGGCGTTTGAATCAAACTTGATTCCGAAATGGAATTTGAGTTAGCAAAATCGATTTTTCTCTTAAAATTTTGTCAATATTAGAATGATTTACATACAGACGAAGAAAATGAAGATCCAAGAAAAGGCAACAAATAAGAAAGACTGGAAATGCTTTTCGCTAAATTAAAGGCAAAAGTGGGGTGAGCGGTAAAACATAGACATGTTCCTTCTGAATAGTTTTCATCAATTCTATTGCTACAGCCTGAGTTTAACTAAGAAGGCTTTCACGAGCTTCACGTGGTGGGTTTTTTGGGTACAGTATGTGTAACATTATGAGATCTGCTAGCATCTGTCTGATGTTCTGTGTTTATTAGGTTTGCTAAGATAGAACTTCTTACCACTTGCCCGTCGTATTTTCCACACCATACAAGCAAGTGTTCTTGTATCCGGAAAATTAGCTGCCTAATCGTACACGCTATCCAGCTTGTTCCAAAGGAAGAAATAAATTGATGTAGGAGAAATAAAAAGATAAGATTAGTTAGGCCTTCTCCAGTCTCAGACTAAGCAATCATCGAATACTTAAGCAATTTTCAGCCAATGATTCTTAATAATTTGTAGACTCCAAAAGCGTAGCGTACACCTCTGACATTGCTGAAACGAATAGTCACAGACCTGACTCCATCTCGTCATCCAAACTCATATCTACTCTCACCGAGTTGCAAATGCCTCAGCATCAAATACTCAAACTTCAACCATGAGAAAAATTCTCATAATTACACTCCCTTTCAACAAACCATCGGCGCCGGTTCCAATCCTGCCAAGACACAATTCTTCATTTCACCTTCAATCATCACCCAGTATCAACATAACTCTGCCAAACAACACCTATCTCAGATAATCAAACTGATAAATAGACATCGAATGCATGATTTCAGTTTCGTTTATGGAAGTTCTAGGAATACCTGACCAGACAGAATGAGGAAAACACAACAGTGGGAAGCAGACGATCCATCTCCTACACTGCATATTTGAAGAAATGAGGGAATAGTAGTCTTGAGGGTTAGGAGGAAATGAAGCCATTCCCTGATAATCATTTCTTATCAACCTTAGATATTTATTCCACCACTCACTCTTGGCTAGTTGCGTCATTTTTCTTCATACATCATGTTTTCAACCAACTGAGCTCAACTCACAATATTCTGCTCAAATATCATTCCACCTACCTAAGTGATTGTATAATATTTCATGATCCTCCTCAACATCTTGATTACTACTCATGTCGTTATTTTATTCGAGAAGTTTCCATTAGATTAGTTAAACAATTATGACCATTTATAAACTCTCATCGAATTTGCAGTTATGAGTGATCTCTAGTCTATCACAATTTCTGTCCGTCTTAACCATCGACCGATATTCTATCTCCTCTCAATGAGTTAAACTGTTACTATCTGCTGACAAACTTGAAATTCTCCATTGTTATACTGGATCATATTGTTTGACCTCTGTTGATATGTGGGTTCCTATGTGGATGCCTCGATGCTTAAGTATGTAAGATTTTCAGCGAAACTGCACATCTTGATATTTTAAGCTGTGAGCAACTGACAAGATTCCATTGAAATGAGATGTGTGAGTTTTTATCCTACTCCGATTGTTGTTTCAACTCTTTTCGAATTCATAAAAGGGAATTCGTGTTGGAAAGACCCCACGAATGTGGCATCTTCAGTTTCACGTGCACTAACACCATTTAATCTCACGTCCATGCCATATATTTAATCCTGATTATAAGGATGTCTTTCATTTTAACTGCTTATTCCCATATCAGAACGAAACGGTTTTCCAGTGCTCCCATGTCTCCAACGTTCCACCAACTGGTGTCAACCCATGATGAGTACCAGTCTGAAATCAAGAGATATATCCCAGCAATCCCGGAATCTGAGAAGTCGTGACCGGTGGGGCAAACCTGGTGGCCATGAAGACAAATATTCAACAATGACATGGGGTAATGGTCGTGCTATGTCGTGAACTGACAGAAGTAGGAAATATGAGCTATCGGATTCCAACACACTGGCTCACTGTCAACGTACTAGCCACGATCTCTGGCATAGTCACTGACTTGCACTACTGAAGAGTCTCGTACTATAGCGAAACAACTGTTGAGTGCTCCAACGTTTTCGATGTTTCTCCAACTGATTTCATTTCATAATAAATATCAAGCTAGAATCATTCATTATCCCACGAAATGTGATTGACAGTGTAGTACGCAAACGTGTAATTTGTTGCTAAATTGGATCTCATTTTATTTCCACCTGTTAAAGTCGACTACGTGTACAGTTAGTTGAAAAGACGGCGCAAGCAACATGTACTTTAGTTTTTTATAAATCAACTAGCACTTACAATTAGTGATCAAGATTGTCAGCATAGTTTTTTATTCAAGCAATTCGTTGTCGACGGAGTTGAGCAAAATTGTTCCTTACTAGAAGAATATTTAAAACACAACCACTCAAAACATTTTCATAATTACAGTCAGATAACAAACATACTGATGACATTATAATATTCTTTGTAGGCCTATGTAACCACACCTTGTTTACTGCAATCTCTGGAACAAATATTCTAGAAGTTCCCAAAGGTACTTTAAATACATGCCGCAGTGGTTTCCATTTTCCTTACATATTATTTTTGTATTTTAAAGGCTGAAATAGTGGCATTATGCCATAAATATCTACACGGTTGTCTCTTGTCCAGTTGCAGGTTACTCATTATGATGCTAGTCATGTCTCTAAGTCAGGTTAGTTTTACCGTCCGCATTAATCATATTGAAAAAGATTAAATGTTCAATAAGGTCTGTTTCCGCTATAAGGTTTAATGAGCAAGAAGACTAGATGAAGAGAAATGCATAGTTTTTTTATCCTGAGTTGATTCAACAGAACTACACGAGATAAAATCATTATATAACAATAACTCACTGCTAAAAATCTTTCAAGTAATCTAAATGTATCTTATGACTTCAGCTACTTAAAGACAACCTTTATTTCTCGCTTTAAAGTTCCGGCTAAAAACGTTCACACGTAGCAAACAGTTTTGATGAATTAAGAAGAACCGAGGTATTATTCCGCTTCAATAGAGCTTGGTTTTCAGAGATTATCTGATGTACACAGAAAACGATTTGAAAGATCTACTCTTAATATAAATAAGAATATATTTGAACCTTATTCCCAAATACATTGTTTAAGGCAATACATACAAAAGGATTTTTGGATGGATTGCACAAATTTTCGAGTCTATTCATTAGGTAAGCACAATCACTTCACTACTTAGATAAATATGTGCCAAAAAGTGTTTTAGTAGGTTAACTTGAGTGAGAAGAAATTGGCTTATTTGTTATAACAAACATGAACATTGCACTAAGCTAACCCACTAGAATCTGTATACACAAACTTTGAAATACACAAAATCATATCCCCGAATCCACTGGACACCCTTAGCAGTAGTTCCAAAGCTCAACCACCGTCCAGTAAGCAACCACTAGTTCTTCTCTACGTAACCAGTTTTCCATTGTTTTTTCATGATACTTTCTGCTAAAACTCTCTGTGCTACATATTGTTCTGAGTGGATCGTTCACATAAAGGATGTGTTTAACAGAAAACAACATACACATTATCAAGAATAAGCTCATCCTACAGTGAACCCAATAAATAAAAACTTACACAGTGATTAACGCAAAACTTAGTGAAAGTAAGCTAGCGAGAAACTGTAAGAGACCCATTAATATGCGTACATCAAAGGAGTTGATGGAAATACGTCAGACCAAAGAGATATTTATAATAAACATGACACCGAAACAGAGTATTGTCAGGCTCTATTTTATGAGGAAAAAGACAGTGAATTTACAAAAAATGGCAGTCAGATAACCTATAATGTGCTGACACTCTGAGTTACTTTCCAACTGATTTTTTGAATCTGTGCTTAGTTCTGGTCTCAGTATAACACTACTAAAATCCAGGTGTCGAATCCCATAGATTTTAAGTTCCATGACAGGCTCTACTCTACCCATAACTGTCAGTGATAGGCTTTATCAAATAAATCCAAAATAATCAGACATTTGGTTCAAGTTTCGGCCGTTTGAAAAAAAACATCCTCAGTCCCATGCCTTAATAGATTCAGCCAAGTATTTTGTACCCAGGAGTATTCTAACAGAAATTTTAACCAGGAAAAACAACCCATCACCATAGGTGGGCATAAATAACCAACAAAAAACGCTTCATGGTGGCGTATCTTGATTTTTACCGTCATTGGACAGAATTTATTAAAGGCTTAAAAACAATAATGTGAATTATTTACTACAGCACCTATAATAATGTCATGGATTAATCTTTTTGACACTGACTGAAGTTAGTAGGTTGGATAGAAGGTGAACAATATTCTCACAAATATATGAATACTAAAAAGTGATGACTTGATGACTCACTGTCATTTGGAATTTTTTCTGTATTCATCTGAATATTTCCATAGCTTTCGACAGTCTTGGAAGTTATTCTACTTTCGTGTTGTGGGTTTGTCTCTTGCTGATCAGATTGAGATGATGAAATTTCGGTTAAAGTGAAATTGGGCGAGATGTTGAATATTAATGCATCGACCGATTCATTTGAAGATGGTTCATCAACTTTGATACATAAACTAGATGACTTAGGCGAATCTAAACTAACGGACGACGATGACTCCGCAGAAGTCATTGGTATGAATGTAACAGGAAAGTGAAGTTTCAGCACGCTTTTTGAATTTGCAGGATGAAAGCGTGTCTGCAATTGTAGAATACGACAAACTGTCTAAAATCTTAAAAATACAATGATATTTTCTGTGAACAGACAGGTGAGGCTGTCTGTGTGCATTCGGATAGGTCAAGTCCACCTACATGTGAGTGGAATGGACCAATAGAAAAGGTAGTAAAACATTGGTTTCAAAATTCAAAATTTTTTTACCTCAGATTGGCGTATCCTACAGCCAATACAAGCAGCACGATAAAATCAATAAATGTCATTTATCGCTCTAACTCAATCTGGGAGCAGGGAAAAGACAGTGATGAGTGGCATCACTAAGAAATAAAATTCATTTTATTACGTATGAAATTTTGATCTGTGAAGCGATAGAATAATGTACACCCTTCCTATAAAAATGATTAGCACATTAAAATTGTGAAAGTATGATGGGAGACAATAAAAACATAGGCCATGGTCGGATTCAAACCAGTGGGCTCTAAGTCCCCAACTGGGTTAGGGATAAGGTGTTCACCATGAAACGGCTTTGGGCGGCATCACTCTCGCGAAACATTATCTATTTGTCCGCTTGTCAAAATATGAGACTAAAATAAAATTTTGAATATTTTCCACACAACAAGAATACACAGAGACATACAAAAATCTATAAACAAGGAGGTGAAACTGTTTTGTGTTTGAAGTCGGTTTTTCGTTTATCTGTAATCGTCAGTTGAACCATCCTAGCATACTCAGTCGAAATACAAACTCCTAGCCTATTTGAACCTAGAGTTACCAACAATGCTTTTCCACTGAATGTATTTCATCAAATTCTTCCCCTTCTGTTTGTTTTCATCATTTAAATATGTCTTTTAGACGTGTCATGTACACTCGTACATTTTTAGAATGTTTTAAAACTACTGTTTCCCAAGCTAAGAACAAAATAAATAAAAAACGTTACACCAGATGGCAACAGACATACAAATGCTCAAAAATACAGCACAGGACCATGACTAGGATGCCTATGTCAAATTGCAAATTTTTGTACTGGCTGATTGAACTGCCATCACCATCTTTACACTCAATTTTGTATTCATCTCCATGTCCAGACCAGACACTAATGTAACACCAGCTACCCGTTTCACATTGTTGTCTTTATTACTGTTACCACTTTTATTGACACAGTTCAGATGCAATAACTACTTCTTTTAAAAACATTGTACCGGGAGCGCACTTGTTGAAATCCTACCTGCTGAAAATTTAGCAATTATTATTATTATTATTCTCGAGGTATTCATTGCGGACTGACATCAGTTGGAGAATAAGTGAGAACCTGGGAGTACTGGACAGCTGTTTCGTCCTAAAATGGAACTCTCCAGCTGTACGCATCCACGAATCGGCTAGGGATCAAACATAGGACCTTCAAGTTTCCCAAAGGACGCGTAAGCTTTTCAGCCACTAAGTCAGAGTTCAGCGGTTCACAGTTTCCAACTCCTGTCAACTAGCGATATAGCATTACTATCATCCAAGGCTTTCAGTTGGCATCCGCTTCCCTTCTGACTAGTTGACCCCAAAGGTTATAGTTTCTCTTGGATCTTCAGGATAACCGTCTGGAAGCAAGTCACTAATGAGCACCACGCAGTAATGTATTTTGAAGCTATTTGGGATTTTAATTTTTAGGTACTATTCATTCCAGACTAACATCGGTTGAACATCACTGAATTTCGATTTAGTGGCTGAGTGGGTAACACATTCGCCGCGAAAACTGACTGTCCTGAGTTCGATCTCCAGCCGCGTTTTGGGTGCGTACTGCTGAGGATTCCCATGTTAGGACGAAACAGCTGTTCAGTGCTCCCAGGTTCTCACTGATTCTCCATATAGTGTCAATCCATGATGAATACCACCTGAAAATTAAAACCTCATAAACCTAAAAATACATTTTTCTTGTTCTACTTATATTCGAATTCTATCTACACTGTTCATCATTACAGTCGGAAATGCCAGTATTCCGTTGACAAGGCTCGTGACCATATTACTTTCAAGTTCACCCTTTCTACATAATCAATATGTTCACAAATGTGTACTTATAAATTCTAAGGAAACAAATGACTAATAAAAAATAATAATAATTTTTTTCCTTTTTACAACTAAGCGTATCTGCTGTCGTTGAATATGTGCCACATTTTCGCATTCCATAGCTTGTACTGTTTGATTATAATGATATCCGTAACCGATAACATCCACATTGTTTACTGATTTTACAGGCAATGACACATAGTTAACCATAGCTAATAATTAGCAGTATTTCAGAGAGGAAAGTAGAAGTTATGCAATATTAAGAAAACTAACCAAAGTTACAATATAATTACAAAAGAGGGATGAGAAGAACATATCATGTGAAGGTCACTTTCTATGTGTCTTTCACATACACTGCTAAAATATAACTTCAAACTGTGCATAGATTAGCGACCTCATTCCTCTTCAGAAGGAACTGCTGAACGTTTTGCCTGTAGCATGTATGCTGCTGATCGAATGTGATACTACTACTACTACTACTGCCGAGTGGTGAGTCAGTTTGATTTACAATCAGTAACAATACTGCCGATTTGGCATCTTGTTTTCAAAGTGAACACTGAATATTATTCTCAGTTCACATTCTAAAGAGTATCTGTCAGCAATCTCATTAGCTTCAAGTTCAAATTTCTCACTAATGTCAACTGATGACCAACCTCTAGGTGTGAATATAGGGTTGACATTAAACATTTTCTGTAATACTGTCCAACGTAACTACTTGCAGGTAACTGTATCATTCTTCTCACGACTGCAGTTAATATACTTTTCCTTTAAACTAAATCATTTCAGCTATTACCAACTTACAAATTCTTAGTGGGAATGAGTGGTGGATGACCTTGTTTTCTTCGAATTCCCTAATCCAGTTTGTTGGTAGTATCAGCCAGGCTGCCCATCCCCGCCCTTCCTAGTTAATATATCTATAATTTCCCTTGCTAAATTTGTAAACGGTAGTTGTAAGAACTCATTCTAGGAAGAATTTCGTTTCTCTTCCCTCACCTACTTTGACCGTTTGTAGTAACAAAAACAAGTTCAACGAAATCGTAGAATTAAAGTAGGATTTAAAAAAAATAAAAAGTGAATAGTTCAGTATCATTCTAATTTTGGCCTACATATATTTTCTTTCCTAATATTTTTTTCGTTTACTATGTAATATTTACATAAATTTTCCGATAATGGACTGTCATGAACGTAGGTTTCAGTACCAAGTAAACCAGAAGTCACCTACTGAAAGGCGTTTAGGGAAAAATTCATTTCCAACAACCGTACAAAGATGACACAACACATTCGCTTAACTAACTCAGCGTAGGGTCAGGAACTAGTACCCTGGATCTAGAAGGAAACTCAGTTATATCACTTAATTACTCATAAAAACATTTATGCCTTTCCCAATATATAAGTAGGTTGTATCAAAATTCAGTCTCGGCACATGTTTAAAGCCATCAGGTACTACTACGGTTGATTCGATGCATTCCAATATTTACACAAAATTTTATTGCCATTATAGTCAATGAATGAACAGTTGTAGAACTACATAGACCAACACATGCGTTGTCATCATCTTGATTCATTTGTTAGAGGTAAGATGTGCTCTAAGCATCAACCAGTAAACAGAACTGAATCACTGTGTGATTTATTGATTAAACTTGTCCAATAAGGAATTATACTGTATCATATTGACCAAGTTATACTCTTGCATTACACTGACATTACACTACATCATATCACATTGCATTACAATTGATTATCACATCAACAAGAAATCTGTAAATCAAAGAGGGAACAAAACAAGGAGAACGAAATTTGCGGAATAAAGTGATATCATTTTATTTCTCCAATACTCTTCAGCTGCAGATGGTCCAAAAGGACATATTTCAAAATTAGGAGATCAATAATCTTAAGTCGTACAACGGAATCATTGTTAATTCATATAACATGTTAGAGAAACAAATGTATAGAGCAATGAGAAATTGTAAGCGAGGAAAAGTAATAATAATCAATAAACAACGAGTTATGTAATCAAAATAAATTATATTCACCCAGGGACTGAGAGACTAACCACACTCTCCTTCTATATGTGAAGTTCACGTTGAAAGCATTTTTATCGCAATCACTACTGCGAAGCGCATCAGTTCAGACAATTTCTGTACGTTAAATATTTTAAAAGCACTGAAGGTATCAACCTGATGTCACATATCTAAGTGGTGTCTGGTAATTGCATTGGTTAGAATCCTACTTCCTTTCAAGCACAGACTGTTAAGGATATGCTCATGGAGACGAATGGAAACCATTCTATCATGATTGGCTAGACTTTCAAGAATAATTTGTGGTAACTCAGTAGCAGAATAACACTGTGATATTGAGGATTCTAGATTAATAGATTAAATATATGTCGAGAATACCATTTCAGCTGTGTCGCTACACAAGATTCTGGCTGACAGTTAATGATGGCATCTGTCTCTTGGAAATAAACGAAAATGAATTCATTACTTCAACTCACATTCTGTATGGAAAACCTCCTATTCAAAGCACACCATCTCCAAGGTCTTCATCACTTTCAATGAAGTGAACACTCCTCATTCAGATAAAATGAATAACTGTGATTTTGCGTCTTTCATTTATACAATTTTCAAAGTTTGTCTGCATAGAAGGAAGCAGAGAAATAAGAGTCAAATAATTCATGAATGATACTTATGCGACCAACAACAGTCCAAACAGTGTCAAAAATACTCGGAGACTATTCAGTTAACGTGTAACACATATTAGCGAAAATAAAGTGTTTTAATAATGTCTACTTCTCATGAACAGCTTTTGTTGTGGGCACTCTGGAGAATTCAATAACCCCTACATGTGCGCAAAAACACATGCACATGGACACAAAAATGAAGGGATTCAAGGTGGGTACTGTTTGGTCCTGGACTGTTACCTAAGAATGATAAGAAATACGTATTTAACTTAAATTCATATAATAAATTGTGCGCAAATGCAGAATTCAGCTATACAAAAAATGAATAGGCTAGCTGACTTTGCCTAATACGCTTTTAATTTCGTCATACACTTCTAAAAGCGCTACGAAATG